ATACAAGTATAGTTTAAGCAGTGTGTATTTTGTGTTACTCTAAGTATATGCATTAGTATAAAATGCTGTTATTATAGTAATTATTATTTTTATCAGAAAAGTACCTTGCATTTCAGGACTGTTGTTTTTTTTTGAGGGGAGACTTCTGAAAAATGTTCATGAGTCAATGGATTATTAAACTCTTTTTTTTTTTTCCTGCTTAAACCAGGAGTTGCAACAGACATTTTGTTTTATCCCACTAGAGGGCCCATGACTAGGGATGGAAGCATCACTCCTTCCTTCTCCAGAGAGGAAAACCAATTGCTCCCAGCAATAGGGGCCTGGACTTTCTGGTGTTGGGGGGATTTCTCCCCTGCCTGCCCCACCTTGGTGTGGAGGTCTCTCTTTAACAATTTGGAATTAATAGATTCACTTTCCTTTTATTACCCTTTCACATAACATTTCCTAACCACCACCAAAAATCAGTCAAAGATTTGTTACTTGGACAGCTTGATTTGAGCCAGCTACTTGGCATCATAGATTCTGTATCTCATTAGCCAACTATACAACTACGCAACCTTTTAATTATCATTCTTATTATTTAGTATTATTGTTGTTGTTGTTGTTTAAAAGATAAACATCATTACAGAAAACACTGCTGAACTCACGGATCGTTAGATTTGGGGATGAGTGTGCCAAGCTCCTTGATTCGGTAATTAATATTATACCTTCTTCTTCTCTCAACTGTCAAAAAGAAATTAGTCAGTCAATGAAATATTCTTCCTCAAATAGAAATTTCAACATGCTATTTTACGTCTCATATATACTCTTAAGACAAACTCCACGATCAGTATCCTCTTACCCAACTTGGTAGGTTTCCCATCCCTTTACTGCTGGATCCCTAGTGAATAATTTAGTCTTTTATTTTCCCTTGGATGTGGGATAACACATCTTTTCTCATGTAGCTTTGTGCCCTTTCACCACTCTGTTCCCATACAATGATCTTCCATCTCAGTTGAGTTTTGGTGACAACTTCAACAAGAGCAAAAGGCAACTCATCCAGCAGTACACATTATGTCCAAACTCCTGCTACAGCTTTGGTTAGCAGGTTAGTTATCTCAGCTACTGTTAATGCCTTCAGCTTGTTCTTTTGCCTTTTTCTGCTACAACGTCAGCAGTGAAAACCACAAAGAACATAACTGCATCAGAGAACAGATTGTGTTCCAAAAAAATGCTTCATCCTCAGCACTTTTATTTACTTCAGTGATGGACTGCCTGAGCAAATCTACAATAACTTTCAAAGGTCATAGAAAAAAATGCAAAGGAAAAAAATATATAATTTAAATAACCCAAACTTTGTTTGCTGTATTTAAATTGATCCTTCTAAGAGGAGCTATATATGGTAGATCTGTTAATTTGTAGCTTAGTTACAAAGGAAAAAATATATATCTTAAATTTTTCTCCTTCTCTGAGCTCTCAGACGATCTTGTAAGCATAGTACTGGCTGTCCAGTCTGGGCGGTTGCCTCTCCTTTTCATAAGGGCTTGTTGCCTTTCTGCCTCTCATTTCACTAATTTAGGGAGAATTCACTTCTGCTTCCTCACCAGATTTTTTCCAGGTACTTTTATATGCAGAATATCACTTTTTATAACAGACAAGCCCAAAGAGCATCTCCCATCTGTCTTTGGGGAATCAGCTTTGGCCCATGAGTTCTCCCTTGCTTCTCAAAAGGGCTCACCACAATAAATCAACTATACTAAAGCAGAGCAAAGTTAACAGACCATCTCAGAACACGAATAGACCGGATACATCTCCTTTATCTATTTATGTAAATATACATTTCAAGTTTGATGGTCTAATTTTGAATGGAAGTCAAAAAGTCAGACTTTACAACTCAAGGGACCCATATTAAAAAAGTATGCAGAGACGGGATGCCCAGTAGCTCTTCCTAGGTTAACTTCAATCTTCTCATAATCATACTTACTAACAGACTATTCTGAGTTTCATCCCTATCTCTTAGATTACTTTTGGTTCTTTATCTCCTCCTATAAATAGAGATTTTTTTTCTTACAGCTTAAATGAGGTTCTGAGGTTGGTGTGGCAGCTAGTGAATTGACTCTGCAGTTATTAGTTGTTTCCAACTCAGGGAATGTGCTAGGTGTTATCTATCACACTGGTAAAGTGTTCTGACTGATATATTAGCTTCTTTCTCTGGAAAGAGGAATTTCACTCAATAGATTAAATTATCTTTCTTTTTCCAGTTGTGACCCACATATTCAGTAGAAAGGATTATAGTCCATATGAATGTATTATTAAGCTATCCCTCATATTCCATGTGCACCAATGTGTTTGAATGCTTAGGAGAACACAACATACAGAAGCACATAGCAACCAAAAAAGTAAGGCTGGTAAAATAACTGCGAGTCAAAAAGAGTTAAGTCGTGTTTTCTAATAATTTTTGTTTAATTAATATTTACATATTAGATAGCTTGCTCCTGTCTTTTCCTGTCCTGCAATTCCAGACAACTTGGACACCTGCTGTCTTTTCTGATCCAGAAAATCTCTTTAGTTCTTCCCAATCAAGACGGGCAGCAGCTGCAGTGGCACTTCAGAGACTATGGGCTAAAAAGAAGCTCCAAAATCTATGTAGTCTGTTTACAATCTACAAAAGTTTGTTGACAGCAACAAAGATGCCTTTTTTTCCCCTGTTGCCCATAGAGAGAGTCAGCCTGACTGGAGCCTTTAACTTGGTACTTCAGATAATAGTCTAAAGGAAGTTGTGAGGAGTCTGGGTCTTCCCTGTTCTGTTTCTCAATCTTCATCTTTTCTTCTCTGTTTTGCACTGTAATTTTCAAAGACTATATCAAGTTAAAAAAAAAAAGAAACAGTAAAACATACAGGATACGTGTAAAACTGTAGAATAAAAACTTAGCAGCAGGGATAATATTTTGAGAAGAAAAAAAAACAATTCTGCTCAAGAAAAAAAAAAATCTGTTTCCCTGTGCCTGCAGATGGAATTCAAATTCATTATCCAATCAATTTGAATTGAGAGTAGAGGCATAGTATGTAATGTATATTATTTCAGTTTTCTCTATACAATCTCCATATCATATATGAATATATACTCACTGAGATTGTGGTTATCCTTTTTTTGTCTCTCCTTTGCCATTGCTCGTGTATCTGCTTCTGACAGAAAGCAATATTTATTAAAATAGTCCTTAAGTTGCTGTTTCAGTCCCCCTTTCACCTTTTCAAAGTGGCCTCTTTCAGCTAAGAGCAGGCTTTTAGTCTTTTTATTATTATACAAGATCATAAGCAAATCTATGTCAAGTACTAATTTTCTAAGCAAGTCTAGTAGGTTTTTTAAGTTTTTATTATTGTACTTTTTATTATTTAAACATGTATGAATACCATAGATTACTATTTTTTCTCCAGTTTGCTGTACTTCACATCAGGATAAAACTTACAATACACCAGTGTGAATCCAGATTTGTATATCCCATAATGCAAGAGGTAATCAGATTTCTAAATATTCTTATTGAACAAACTCACTGTTTCCTTCGAGTGACACTAATAAATTGTACATGGTTGTTAGCATTCTTTGGATTAACTGAATATAACTTTTAAAGTTGTTAATCCACTAATATAGATTTACCTTGAATAGCCTTATTGTAAGCTTTTAAAAGAGTCATTTGTTCTATCCTAGAACAAATATAATGGATGATAATTTATTTATATCACTGATAAGGAGCCAACATGTGGAAGACTCCACTACATTTCCTAAAATAATTAGTCCTTTTAGAAGCGTGATATTCATTAAAATCACATAGCAACAGAGCAAATGTTTCTGAATTGTTAAATAGAGAATAGAAAGAAAACATTTCTCCTTGAACTTTGTACCTCACATTCATTGCAACAGTACAAGCTATTGCAAAATTATCAAGCAAGGATTATGGAGAAGATCTATTTCATGGCTCAGTTTACGTGATAAATACCATCGCTTTTGAAATTATAAAATATTAAAGAATCGAGGTTATTTTACCTGTGAGTTCCCTTTTTACAGGTAGAGTAGCTGGACAAGAAGCATTTGTGAGATCCATATTAGCTGGTGCTATTCCATGGTCACTGCTATATATATCCAAAATGCTGCTAGATAGCTTAAGGGGGAGGGAAAGGAAAGAACAACAAAAAGAATCAGAATAAGTTAAAGGCTTAAAAGATTAAAACATCATAAATGCGAAGAGCAAACTTCTTTGAATGTGAGTCTGGTGTCTTTCAGTATGTGTTTAAAGGGAAAAATTGCCCTTATCTAGAATTAAGTAAAATAAAAAGTGAAGGGTCAAAGTCTGCTGTTATTCCGAAAGCAGGTTTTTAGCTGATGTTCGTATGGGTTTTGTCTGCAGAGCAATAGGAAGATGTGGCCTTTAGTGTCTATTTTGAATTCGTTTCATAGCATATATTCTAATAACAGATTTACCACAACTATGTTTCAAACAGGAATCAAATTTAAAGGAAAAAAAACCTTGCTCATCCTAAGTTACTGCTCATTGATTTTTTAACCACATCACCAAAATCTGAATAGGTTTCATAGTTCGTACTGTTTAGGTTTTACCAATAAAAAAATTCAACAACCCAGTTAGATGGGATAGTTAAAATTGAGGTGAACAGAACACCACAGAATAAGCTTTAATTAAAAGCCTGTGCTCTAGTCAGTATATATTAATCATACATAATCATGTATACTATTATCTTTATTCTCTTTACAAACTGTACCATTATTTAAATGAACGCACACGAATGTCCTAAAGAAGAAGCAGCAATAAAGAATATTTCTAAGGATTCCAGACAATAGCACAAGCCTCTTACTTGAACAATTTTACACCTCAAATATTGTTTAAAACATGTAAAAGTTTAGTAATGAACACTTCAGGCTCTGCTTAGTTTCTATGATCATATAACCAACCTTTCAACACTGATTGTATCCTTTGTATTGCTGTATATTCATGTGAAAACAACAATCCAAGTTCAAATTCACATATAATTTTGCATATGAATACAGAGCAACATATTTTTTCACTTTTTGATGCATACAGTCATTGCATAAAGCTTTTTTTTTTCACTCTAGGGCAACAGAGGCAGATACTGAGTTTGGATCAGCCTGGTCTGGTAAAAGTAGAGTAGGGGAAAACCTCTTAAAAATATATAACAAAAGTAATATCTCCCAGCAGAGGAATGAGAAGAAAAAAACAAAAAGTTTGTTCTAACTTTGACCAGCTAAATAGAAGAACTGATAAATTTAATATAATACACATTACTGAAGTGCAAGGGATCATTAGCATAAAACTCATCTAGTTATCACTTATTTAAAAAATGTCTATTGTTTTCAGAAAAGCAGGGGATAGATTACAATATATAATTATTCTTTTTAACAACAATCCTGAACCTTAACAAATTTGTTATGGATATATGTACTCTCTGGCAATATTAGTTTATGATATATGTATAAAATGATCTCATCAATGTTTGAATTTGTATTTTCTGACAAGACTGAGAAAAAAATGTAGGTGAAAGTGCTGACTTACTTAAAGTATAAAAGAATCTATTGAAATTAGGAGTCGCTTAAGAATGCGTTATTAAATGACAAGATCAAGTTCTTTCTACTGAAGAAAGATGATTTGAGATACTGTATTACTGCTTCAGGGGTGAATTAAAGGTGTACATCAGAAAAAGACAAAAGAAAAAAAAAGAAAATACCTCAAACTCATCTGTACAATAAAAGAATAATTTGTTTGGTGTGAAACTGTTTGAAGGAAGTTTTTACTATTTTTTAACATTAAGTCTGCAATTGTAAATACATTTTGTTTTCCAAGAGAAAAATAAATCTTTAATTATAAATTATTTGAGAATCTAGTTTGCATTAAATTCTTTCAATAACTCAAAATGGAATGAAACTGTCAAGACTCTTTTGAATACACATGAATAATGTGCCCACTTTTTAAGTAATTTATAGAGACACCTATTACTTAAGACAACTGAGAATTCTTAAATACTATTAGAAATCACCACGCCAAGTCAGTTTTGAAAATCTGCTTAAATATTTGATCTCTCAGTGGAAATACTGTTTTAAAGAATGTTCAGAATTCAGTTGAGTATTACTCAAGAACAGGCTATGTTTAATATGTAGAATTTGAAAGCTAAGCACATTCCCACATTAAGCACCTTTGTTTCATTCTTGAGTAATGAACTGACAAGTATTGCAGTATTCACTACAGCTTTAACTTTGCATTTTCTTTGTTCCATTGATAGCATAACTATATTGTAAAAGTTAACTCATGTTAGCTCAAGACATACATTCAAGGAACTCCTACTATAATGCAAGTGAATTTGGCTTACTGAAATGATATGAAAATATAATTTTCATATTCAGCACTGATTTAAAGACTTAAGAGTCAATGTGACTTACGCCTATATAGCTGTGTGAAGCATACAAAAAATGATATAAAATATACATATCCATTTCTGATTTGATAGATTATTTATGAGATTATTATATTATTTTCTGTCACTACTATTTCCTAGTGTACCATGAAAACAGCGGACTAGTCAAATTATGGCTTGATCCAAAATTCAGAGAAATCAGTATTGAAGTCATATTAACTTTCAAATATCTCTAAGTGAATATCTGTCCATAGTTTATGTCAGGATGAGTTAATTCTTCCACCAAGCAATGAAAGACATGAAATGTTTTCCCAAAGCTCTCAAGCATCTTTGTTTCAAACAGATGGTCTCCAGCAATTTTTCCCTCATCATTCAGCATTTTTCTTAGTCATAGGAAAGCAGGGTCATAATTCCATGTGGATGATGAAAATGAAACCCAAGTCCATGTCATCCATCCTCTGATGGTAACAATCTTATAAGCCCGCTAATTAAAATTCACAAATGTTAATTACCAAGCATGTCAAAAACAGACTTCTACCACCCCACTTGAGAGAAACCATGGTCTTATGTTAATTGTCCTAAATTATTCTTGAATATCAGAGGACAAACCTATTCACAAAAATCCAAAACACTTCGCTCTTATTCATCTATCTGAGAGCACTAATTTGGGGGTTACAGAACTGTGTGCCTTCTTCCTCTGAAGTTTTGGTTTTGATACAGGTCAGAAAATCATATTTAATAATCCCTCTTGGGGAATGGAGAATTTAAGTTTTGCATTTCCTCAACTCTTTCATTGTCTCAATCAGTGTACTGAACAAAAGAATAACAGAATAAACGGCTACCACATTCGGCTGTAGAAGACACATGAAAAGAGGTTCTGTTCTTTTCACCCACTTCGTGTCCTGGCCCAGGTTTCCTATCTCAGCATTAATGAATTCTACTTTGTACGAAGGGAGTTGTTCCAGTCTCACTATGAAGTGCTTCTTTCTTCCTAAGCAATTAATAGAAAGCCCAAACATAAGGCATTGCTATAATGGCAGCTTTTTTTTGTGGTCAGAGCCATTAGTGATCTCATTTTGAGACTCTGTTTTCATTATCTGTTAGATGGCACAGTATTTACATGTTTGCAGGAGGACAAAGTGGTTATAGAGACAGTAAACTAGGCTACCTAGTTACAATCACTTAGTTCCTATAGAAATGGTTAGACACGTGAAAACGTGCTCTGAATTTGTGTGGTTGGAATAAGCTACATTATCATGATTCAGAATCTGAAGAAGTAATAGGTAATGATAGGTGGCTGACCTGTGCCGGATACTTGCAATGAGCTGAATCTCCCCTATTTCTTCTTACTGACTCTAGAGGAAGCCTCAGGTGACTTCACTGTGCACCTCACTGGGTTTTTATAAAGAAAATATCTAAATAAAGCCTTATTTTAAAAATTACATGAGAATGACAAAGAAAATGCGACTAAATGTTTCTTGAAAAGTCTAAAAAATGTCAAAACTTGAGTTTCAATTCCAAGAATTGAAAAGTTCTTGAAAGGCAAGAACATGCCTTTCTGATTGTAAGGGAGTTAAATATGCAGAATCAAAAAATTAACAAAGTATTTTGTTGAATCTCTCTGGCTGAACTTGTCCTGAGTTGATACCAAGCTTGGCAAATTTCAAAGCATTTGCTTGTTGATGTTGTACAGCACCAAGAAAGAGGTTCAAATAAATATTGGTCAGGTTTGCTGAGGTAAAGAAATGAGGTAAGAAACCTTTTTTGACTGTCAAAGCAGAGAGCTATGTTAGAAATGTAGGCATCTGGGAAATAATTTTTAAATTACATAACTAAAAAAAACCTACCCCAATATGTTATTAAAAAATGTATGTCAAAATACATCTGGTCATTTTGATATACACTAAGACTCCACATATCACAACGCATTTTTTTTTTCTTACACAGCCATGTATACAGAAGGGAAAGTTTTTGTAGTATTGTGTCTACAAAGAGCTTTCTATTCTACATTACAGGATAAATATGTACATTGACATGATCTTACAAGGAACCCAATGCAATCTTACCAAAAATAAAAATCATTTGCAATGGCATAATTATATGTTATGTGTACGATAATGATCTATTCAGTTATATAGCACTGTCAAACTTGACGAAACCCAAAGCACTTTAAAAATTTAACTAAGTATGCGGCTTCAGAAGCATGTGCTTGTTTTCCATTTAGATATGTATGCCTGGTGCCTGATGTGGAAACATAGATATGTGAGTATGAAAATGTAGAAATCTCAGGAAATAATCTATTTATTCTCCAGCCACCGTAAGGTGACTTGGTACACATTCATGTTGTTTCTGAAAAGTCCTTTTAAGTCACATATTATCGACCTTTCGATTCACTATAGATATACATATATTTATATATGCATTTCTGAGAATTTAGATGCTTGTAATGGGTGAGCACACACATATTAAAAATAGCAGTCTATAATTAGTCGTTTTTCCTGCTTCTAATATGCAGCCAGCTTTGGACAAAAGATTAACAACCTTTAACATAGAAAATAGTCAAGTGGGAACAACCAGTGACAATGTGGTGCACGAAGAGAATAATGCTATATCTAATTAAAACTTCAAGAAGAATTAAGAAAAGCAGACTGTAATTAACCAAGTTAGCATTTGGCAAGCACATGCGGGTTGACACTCTTCCTTTTGTATAATGTCACAG